CCGGAGTGGCTGCCTGCCAGCCCCTGGGAATCTCCTGCGCAGGTTCGAGGAGCCCCTGGCCAACTTGCTGAACGAACAGCACCGGACGGTGAAGGAGCAGCTGGAGCAGCTGCGCATGAAGAAGTCGGCCCCGAAGCTGCCCCTGGAGTCGGAGCGCGCCAAGCTGCGCCACGAGAGGCCTGTCCAGACCCTGACGTTGGACACCGGGCAGAAGAAGAGGCTGATGCAGCAAATGCAGCAGGTGAGGGGCTCAGAAGGCGGTGGTGGACCCTTTTCTCTCTCTCTCTCTCTCTCTTTCCGCTCTGAAAGAAGCCAAACCTAAACCTGGTTAACATTCACGCAGAACAATAAGCCAAGAATCCTGGCTTAAACAGAGCACAGGAGTTCTGCAACTCATTTGCCCCCATGGAGGTTGAGGCTTCCCGGGTCCTTTTTTCTGTGGTTCAGGGTGGATTGTCCTTTTATGCGTGCCGTTGTTTGAACACCATCCCCGAGGGCGAGAAGCTTGTCTTTGCAAAGCTCAAACCTTTTAAGGACGATGGTTTCCCAACCTTGGGTCCCCAGAGGTTTCTGGACTACATCTCCCAGAAACCTTTTCACCACTAGCTATGCTGGCCAGGATTTCTGGGAGTCGTAGTCCAAGAACATCCGGGGAGCCACAGCGAGGAAGCACCATTTAGAACGCCTAACTGTGTAGTCTAGATCACTAGGGCTAAATTTTTCATGGCCAAGCTCTTGATGACCCACTTGTAGATTAATGCCAGGATCATTCTCTGGACTTCTAATCTGGTACGGGTGGAGGAATTGTCAAAAAAGAAGAAGCCATAACATGCCCTGCCTCGCTGTGAAGGACGTGGGTGAGATAGAGGGTGCTTTTTAAGAGAAACCAGTCAAGGCTGGGCTCACATGGGGTGCATCCTCCGCTTGTCGAGAGGCACCGTCGATTCTCCCGTCTTGTTTTTTTCATAGCACGTGCAGCTCCTGACGCAGGTCCACCTCCTCAGCAGCGCCAACCCCAGCTTGAGCTCGGAGGCCGGCACCGCGCGCCTCTTTCTGGTAAGGCTGGGTTGAAGTCGGCGAATCGTGCCTCTTGCCCTCGGCCCTTGGTTTCACAAGGTGGGGGCAGGTGAATTTAAAGCTGAAATCCTCTTTGCTTCCAGGATGGCAGAAGGCTCCTCGCCCACCGGCATTCCCCTCCCTGGGCAGGCTTCCCATTGTGTGACCGGTTGAGCAGCTGGTCACGCAGCGTTCAGCCTGTCGGAGAGGAGAAGCCGGTGTAGGATCAACCCTATTTAGAGATGTAAAGTTTCCCAATATTTCAATTTTTTCCCCCAGGGAAACAATGGGTGTGTTTTCTGGAAAAGATGGAAATGTTCAGAAATTTAACATCTCTCATCCTATTATTATAGGATTTTGGCTAGAGCGTCTGTACTCTCTTTAGTTTAGAGACACGCAGATGAAACCTTCCCTGTGTGATTTTCTCCTCTGGCGTTCGTATACCTTCAAACGCAAAAATGGTTATGCTTAACTTAGAAAAAATGATGATGGGGGTTAAAGACTGTTTATGGGAGATGGGCTGGCTCATGGCTCGGCCACCCCCTTCCAATACAGCCTCATTGCTCTTGAGGACTAGCACCTTTGAGAGTTCTGTTTGCTTCCAATGAGCTGTTTATGAGCCTAAAAGGGGGAGCAGGCGCCTTTTAAGCTGTGATTTCCTGTTAAGCTTCCTCCCGTCGTCTCTTTCCATCCGTAGACGGAGCTGGACAGCTTCGCTCAGAGTTCCCTGCTTCTCTGCCAGCCCCACGGCCCGGATTTCCGGACGGCCTTCCAGCCCTGTAATCTGAAGGAAGCGCTCCGGCTCATCCAGGACTTCCACGCCAACATCAAGATCGAAGGGAGCCCCCGCAAGGCCGTCAAGAAGAACGGTACGGACGTGCGACAGTTTTTGAAGAAGCGGGTTATCATCCGGGACAGACCACGCGGAGATCAGTCTGCTCGCATTTAAAGATGCCACAAAACTTGGCTTATTCGCTTATTTTGTTTTGTGTTGTCAATCATCAGGTTAAAATTTGTATCTGTTGTATAACACCAGTCAGTATTTTTTATAGTTTTGATTGACTGTGTCTGGCGCTTTTGAATCATCAGCATCTGAGAACAGCATAGCTCGGAGGGACCCTCTGGGTCATCCAGTCCAGCCCTGACAAGGAGGCCCAGTGGGGGGGATTCGAACTCCCAACCTCTGGCTCCACAGCCAGAGGCCCAACCCACTGAGCTGTACATGTGCTTTAGACTGGAAATGGGACCGTTCTGTATTCCTTTCACCAGCCAGCTCTTAGTCAAATCCCTGAGTGGTTTCTTCTTTTAAACTTTTTAAACAGATGCTCATTATATATTTTGGGAGGGGGGTGTAGGCTGGACCATATCCTCTCCGCCTTCCTCTAATCAGGATCCTCAAGAGGTGCTAGGACTCCACCCTCCATAATCCCCAGCAACCCGTAGGCGATCTTCGAGCCTCGTTCTCTTCACTGTGGCCCCTCTTCTCCCCCCTCCCCGGCTTCTTCCCCCCAGGGAGCGACTTTGCCTGCTTGCCGAAGCAGCTCGCCTGGATCTTTGCCACCAGGAGGGTCTTCATGTACCCGGAGCTGCTGCCCACCTGCTCCTTGAAGGCCAAGACGCCCCGAGACAAGATTGTCTTCACAAAAGGAGAAGACAAGTAAGCGTTTGAAGAGCTACCTTATAGGGTTGTTGGCGAAATAAAAGTACGGTGCAGGGCGGGGGTGGTTGGGAGGGAGCCACGTACGCAGCCCGGAGTTTTCCCGGAGGACCGGCGAGACGGAACTGCACCCGTCTGGCCAAGAAGAATGCGAGCTGCCAAAGACAGTCAACAATCGGCCGGCTTTTGCCCCCTCTTTGCAGCCTCTTGGCCCTCGGCCTCAAGCACTTCGAAGGGACGGAGTTTCCGAAGCCGCTCATCAGCAAGTACCTCCTGACCACCAAGACGGCGCATCAGCTGACGGTGCGGATCAAGAACCTCAACATGAACAGGGTCCCCGACAACATTCTCAAAGTATGTTCCTTTTTAATCGTCTAAGACGGTTTGTCCGGTCCCGGAAGATCTGAGATCCACAGAATGGCGTGGATTCGTTGTCTCTGCAAGACCCGGTCCGGTTATACGGTTGTTTCGAGCGTAGTAGGAGCCCTGAGAAAAATCCACTTTGCGTCCTTCGTTTACGAAGCTTTTGTTGCGAGGGAGGCTTATTTTATGAACGACGTCCCAGGCCGAGGGGGCCAGCGGCGTTTGTGCTGAGCTATGCAAACCTGTTGGTGCTGCAAACCCCTTTTTTAATAACCTGGCCTCTGTGATAGGAAGGGAGGTGCTCGAAGCCCAACTAGTTGGACTCCAGGAGGCCCACCCGCAGGATGAGGCATCAATTTAAAGTAGGACCCCCATATTGACGAGGGATCAGTTCTAAGCCCCACTCCGCGGATGCCAGAAAACGCGGAGTAGAGCAAACAGTATTTTAGCTAGGTCTCTGTCTCCCTGTAGTGGCCAGTTATTGTAACATCACCTTTGAAAATAGGTATTTTAGGATTTTTCTTTTAACATTTTTTATATTCTTAGGCTGTGGATAAATGAATCAGCAGATCCTGATCCCGCATATATTGGGGGGCGTGCTTCCTCATGTCTTTCCTTTTGCTGCGTAGCCGCATGCTGCCCTCCCTGCCACTTATCCATAAAGCGAACCTTTTAAGGCATTTGTGGATTTCTGTCTTCATCCTGACAGAAGTTCTTTGAGGGGGGGGGTGTACTGGGTGTCCATACCGGCCTGTGGGCACAGAGGGTTTGGCTTAGATTTAGGGGCTCTGCTGAGCGGCAGGATGGGTGCCGGATTCGGCCGAGGCCCCTATCAGAGGGTGTTCTCTGACCCTCCCACCGTCTCCTTTCAGTACTATAAGATGACCAAGCAGGTTCCTGCCCTACCCAGGCTGTGCGAGGAACTCCAGCCGGGCGACTGGACACCCCCGATCGAACGAGAGGAACATCGCCTGCCTTTCTGGCTGAAGGTATTTCCCACTTTCGAGGAGGCAGAAAAACAAGCTCGGGAACCTGGCTTTTCATGGGGGAGGCCTCGGAGCCGAAGCCCCAGGGGCTTCCAGATAGGGTTGGACAGGATCTTCCCCGTTTGCCGTGGCCTGAAGCCACGGAAAGCCCACCTCGCATAGACCAAACTGTTCGTAGTCCTCCTCTCTCTCTCTCCCTCTTCCCCTCATGGTTATCAGGATCCTTCCCCTTTCGCCAAGGGCGGCTGCATTTCGGGGACCGGCCCTGCCGCTCTCTTTCCCGGAAGCTCCATTTCTCTCGTGGCTTGCCTCCTCTTTCCCTGCCTTTCTTTCCAGGCCAGCCGCCCCTTCATCCAAGAGGTGCTGGAGCCACGGCCCCGGGAGGCATCGCACAGCACTGGCAACCTCGGCGAGGCCGGGGTGGAATTGGCCGATCCAAGGCCGGAGGAGAAGTACCCCTTGCGCGCCCCGGAGGGCTTGCAGTGGATCCTGAGGCCTCTGAACAGCCGCTTCTGCCGGAAGGCCTGGAGGCGCCCCCGGCCAGCCGCCACCAAGCCCCTCCCGGTCCGCCCGGGCCTTTGCTTGCCTTCGGCCGCCGCCGGTGGTAGCAGCAACATCCTGAAAATGGCCACCAAACACCCGCAGCCGGAAGCCCTTCCCAGCAAAGCCGGGGGGCGGGTCCCCCGCTTGATTCAGCCTGCGCCGCTCATCCAGCCCCTTCCGGGTGTCCAGCATCTGAGCCTCCAGCCGGCGGTGGGCCCCCAGGCCAGCTTTGAGCTCCGGGGGGTCTTCCCCACTCAGCAGCCTGATCCGCGAGGGGGCTTGGCTGCCCCCGCCCCACCCAACGTGGTCCCTCCACTAGCAAAGCCGGGGGGCGGGTCCCCCGCTTGATTCAGCCTGCGCCGCTCATCCAGCCCCTTCCGGGTGTCCAGCATCTGAGCCTCCAGCCGGCGGTGGGCCCCCAGGCCAGCTTTGAGCTCCGGGGGGTCTTCCCCACTCAGCAGCCTGATCCGCGAGGGGGCTTGGCTGCCCCCGCCCCACCCAACGTGGTCCCTCCACTGCCGGTGGCTTTTCAGCCTAAAATGATCCTCCCAGCCCTCCCCGCCTCGAGGGTCCGGAAACCCGGGCCTCCCCGGGGATACCAAAAGAAAAGGAGCCCTCGGCCGGCCCCCTTGCTCAAGGCCGCCCCTTTGCTCCACCCGGCTCCCGTCATCTTTACCGTACCGGCCGGCGCCGTGAAAGTGGTCAGCATCGGCAACAGCTGCAACGTGTTGCAACCCTTAGCGGCCAGCTCGGCCGCGGGGGTTGCTGCCCAGCCCATCCCCATCACCACCTTGCTGGTCAACCCGGCCTCTTTCCCATTGGCGGTTCCCCCAGCCCCGTCCGTTGTGGTCACCTCCAGTTCGGCCGGCCCCCTCGCTTCCCCTGCCATCCAAGATCCTGAGGTTGCTGGCCGGCCAGCTGGCGGGACGGCTTCCGGCGACAGCGTGGCGTGTCCCGTCAAGGCGGAAACCGAGATGGCGCCACAAGAGCCCCCCTCCTGCTCCATGACCCCCGCCGAGGAAGAGGACCCCGGCCCTGGGGCCCCCGATCCTGGCCGAGGACTCCCAGTGGCGAACCCGCTTCCGGCTTGCGCAGACGGATCTCCCGCGGACCCTTTCTCCCCATCGCCAGAAACGGGAGAGCTGGTGAATCCCAAAGAGGAATCGAGCAACCCCCCATGGGAAGATATTGTCGGCCCCGAGGACCCGCTCTCTGGGGCTCCCCCTTTAAAAGAGGAGCTGGTGTTAGACCTCGGGCAAGAGCTGAGCGTGGACCCGCCCCCCTTGTACGTGAGCGAGCCGAAGGAAGCCCCAAGCAAGCCGAGCCCCCGCAAGAAGGAGGAGCCCGGCCAGAGGGGGCCTGGACAGTGTCCGCTCGGGGGGCCCACCACCGCCAAAGAAACCAGCCATTCCGCCGAGGGGGTCTGTGGCCCTGTGCCCGGGGGACTCGAGACCAGCGGGTCCCAGGCGAAGCCGGAGGATTCGTCCGGCCCAGGGGGCGGTGACATGGGACCACCGGCCAGCCACGAGGCGACCGGAGAGAAGGAAGGGCCCGAAGAAGAAGAGGAGGAAGACTTTGAGGATGACCTTCAGGACGAGGAAGACGAGGAAATGTCGTCAGCTTCGGAGGAATCGGTGCTTTCGGTGCCGGAACTACAGGTAGACTCTTTTCCCCAAGGTGGAGATGGGTTGAGGAAGGAGCCTAGAGGACAAATACGGGGAGGCTCGAGAGTGGGTGCTTAGGGCCGGGGGAGGATACGGGGAGGACAGCAACATTGTGCAGTATTGGGGCATCCAGTTGGCCACGGTGTGAACCTCCGTTAGGAATGGAGCCTCCTGTTCAGGGGCAGTCTACCTCAAAACGCCGACAGCTGGAGGATGAGAGCAGAACAGGGTCACTGCCCGCACCTTTTGGGGTCACTAGCCTGGGACAAGGAAACCCTGCTTCACCCAGCGTGCCCCTCCTTACCCTGGGATGTTCTTGTGGGCCCCCAGGAGACGATGGAGAAGCTGACGTGGCTCGCCTCCGAGAGGCGGCTGAGCCAGGAGGGGGACTCCGAGGAGGAGAACTCCCCGGAGGAGAATTCCGAGCCCGAGGAGGAGGAAGAGGAGGAGGAGGAAGGGGAGAACCCGGAGATCTCGCAGAAGGAGGACGAAATGGCCGACGAGGCGGCGGGTCCCGGAGATGGGCCTGCGCCGTGTCTCAGCTTGACGTCCGCCGTCCCCGAGGTGGAGCCCCGGAGCACCCCGCCGGGTGAGTTTGTGGGTGTGTGTGGGGGGGTGGGTTGAATCCAGCCCCTGGCCTCTTCGGCGCTTTCTGTTCCTTCCCCATGCTTTGACACGTTGCGAGGGGCATGCATTACCTCGAGGCTTCAGCACCTCCCCTCTGGTGTTGGAGAACAGCGGCAGAGCGGTTGGGCTCCTTTTGATCCTTCTTCAACTCCGCTGGTCCTTTTTTCTCTTCCCCCCCCAAAGGTGAAAACACTAAAGCAGCCCCCGGGAAAAGCCGGAGCTCTCACAAAGCCCGGGCCAAGAGGGGCCGAGGCCGGGCCAGCAAAGACACGTCAAAGCTGCTCCTTCTCTACGATGAGGACATTCTGGAAAGGGACCCTTTGCGGGAACAGAAAGACCTGGCCTTTGCCCAGGCTTACCTGAGCCAGGTAAGAAGCTCCCTGGGTCGGAAGGTGGATTTTGGAGGGCCAGAGAGTTACTTGGGCTGAGATTTGGGGGAAAGGACCCTCTAGAGATTCATTCAAAGCTGCCTCTGCGTTTCCTGTAGTTTTTTGCCGTTCCTGATGTTTCAGGCTTTTGGCTTTCAGAAATCATCTACTCTCGACTGTTGAGCTTCAGAGAATCCACGTGGAAAGATGCCCCTCTATCTGGTTTTTAGGATAAAGAGACATGAGTGATTATGTCATGGTGCCTGAAGTGGAGAAAGGAAAGAGGGAGAGGGCTTTCCTAGATTCCTTTTTTTTCGTCCATTACAGTAGGACTCTGTTATCCATGCCTCCCCCGCAGATACCAGAAAGTATGGATATAGCAAAACCTATCTATTTCACATAGTCTCTGATTCCCTCTAGTGGCTGGTTCTAGTAGTACACCTTGGAAACCAGTGTTTCTGGGAGTTTTTATTTAAGATTTCCAGGCAGTGGGTAAGTGAAACCGTGGGCACTGATCCCGCCAATCAGTCGGTCCCACTGTACTTAAATTTATGATGCTTTTCTTCCTGTGAGCTGAAAACGGCAGGCATGGCTCTCCTTCCACCCTTCATCAGCTCGGTGCTTGCCATGGCCCTTTGAGCGACGGCCTGGCTCAGGGCCCCCAAGCAGGGTTCGTGGACCTAACCGCAAGGTGTCCCACCCTCTGCCTCTCTCCCCCCCAGGTCCGCGAGGCCTTGCGGCACCAGCCAGGGAAGTATGAGGCATTCCTCCGGGTCATTTACGAGTTCGAGAACAATGCCCAGAAGCAGACGGCGGTCGACCTCTACGCCCAGCTGCGCGACGTGCTGCAGGAGTGGCCGCAGCTGCTGACGGACTTTGCGGCGTTCCTCCTCCCCGAACAAGCTCTGGAGTGTGGCCTGGTGCGTAGGCCGAGGGCTGCGGCGGGCTGGGCGGTCATTTCCCGGGCGGCTTGCTTCGCCTGGATTCTGTAAATCCCCTCTGTGATTTGAATGAACGAATGTGTGAACGGATGAGCTTAGGATGTTATTTGGTTTACTGCGAGTTATGGGAAGGAGGTGGCAGGTCTGACGTGGGGCCTGAAAAACTTTGTTTGCTGAAGATCTGGGATCTTTTTTCTGCTCGCTGGACCAGGTTTTCGAAAGCCAACCTCATTTTTTTAGAAACTTTTAAATGAAACCAAACATTTGGAAGGTTCTGGCTCTTGTGCTCAGCACCGTTTGTGTGCTTGTGGGCATCCTGCTGTCTTCGGATGGCAGAGTGCTAGGCAGGAAAGAGGCTTGTGCTTAGCTCAGCGTCCCCGTAACCTTCAGAACCAAGCAGCGACTGGCCAGCGCCCGTGACATCAGGTCTGGGACACGAGCAGACAATTTCTTCTTTTTCCAGTTTGAGGAGCAGCAGGCGTTCGAGAAGAGCCGGAAGTTCCTCCGCCAGCTGGAGATCTGCTTCGCCGAAAACCCTTCCCACCATCAGAAGATCATCAAGGTGTTGCAGAGCTGTACCGAGAGCCTGCCCCAGGAGATCATGGAGGTGAGGAGTCACGCCAGAGGGGCCGGGTGGCCTGCGGGGACGGCTTCTCTTCCTTTCCATCCAGACAGCTCTCCTAGGGAGCAGCCGTCCCCTTCGGGCAGAGAACGAACCCCGCAGAACGGTCAGATCTGCTCCTCTCTCCCCCTGGGAAGCCTCCACCGCGCTCTCGAACTGGGATGGAAGAATTCATCCCCTGTCGCTTCCCATCCCCTGCTAGTCAAAGGCATACAAGGAACGGGTAACCTTCCTTGCCAGGCTACAGCTCCCACAAGCCCCGATCCCCCTGGATCCTGCTTGTGGATGACGGGGGTTGTAGTTCACCACCTGGAGGACGAGAGGTTCTCTAACTTTGCAGAGTATTACTCATAGCAAGCCTAATAGTTCCCCGAGTATGGCTTCTTACGCAGCCCCGGGGGCCCGTCCATGTGTAGGATAGTGCCTCAGCAGGTTCAGAGGAACCCCAAGTACTGCAGAAGTACAGAAGCATCTTAGTAGACATCCATACGGGACCAGGCGGAGGGATGCTGATTTTTCTCTTCCTCTTTCTGATCCACCTCTTATTTCTCGCCCTGCTCTTTTCCACTTATGCCTCCCTTCTTCTCCGTTCCTTCTTCTTCCCCCCCACCCCCCCGCTTCTTCTCCTTGCCGGCCTCCTTCTCTT